GGCCGGCAGGCATCTAGGGAGGGTTTGGCTGGGGGTGGGGGGTGTCTTGGGGGCCTTGGGAGGGGTGCTTGCTGGGGGGCAGGTGGGGAGGGGAAGCTGCGGGGGCGCGGCCGGCTTTGCTCAAAGCCTCCTGGCGCTGCTGCATCTGTCGCCAGCCGGAGCCGCGCTCTCACGCCTGCTTGGGTCCCTTGCCCGTGTGAGCCTCCGCCTCCCTGCCCCCCCCCCCTCGCAGAGTTCTGCGCGCGCGGCTCGCTGTACGACCTGCTGCAAGAGGCGCGGGAGAAGCCGGCGCTGAAGCGCGCGCTGGACTGGTCGCGCCGCGTGGTGATGGCGCTGGATGCAGCCAAGGTGGGCGGGGCTTTTGGGGGGCATGCTGCTGCCCGGGGCGTGACGCGGCGCCGCCTCTGCACAGCTCGGCCTCAGCCAGGAGGCGTAGATCGGTTGCTGTGGTCTTCCCTCGTGTGGTGCCGCTGCACCTCCTGCTGCTGCCTGTGCGCTTGGGGGCCGGCCTGCACCCGGCGTGCCGCCGCCCGCGCGTCCGACCGCTGCTCGCCTCCTCGCCCGGCCCCCTGCCTCCTGCGGTGTGCAGGGCATGCTGTACCTGCACAGCCACAAGCCGCCCATCATCCACCGCGACCTCAAGTCGCCAAACCTGCTGGTGGAGAAGAACTGGAAGGTCAAGGTGAGGTGGCGAGGTGGCTGGGCTTGGGCGTGTGGTCTTGCGTGCGGTCTTGCATGCGGTCTGGCGTGTTTGGGCAAGGCATGTCGACCTGCCACCTTGCCCTTTCGGCTGCGGCCCGGGGCCTGGGCCTCCCCGCCACCGTTCGTCTGCCAACCACCTTTTCACTTCTTTCTTCCCGCTGCCCTTTTCTTTTCTTTCTCCCCGCAGGTCACCGACTTCAACCTGTCCAAGGCTGCCACCAAGAACGACGTCATGTCCTCGGTGCAGGCCACCAACCCGCGGTGGCAGCCGCCAGAGGCGCGTGCCGCGCCCGCCGCGCCCGCTGCCTTTGCCGCCGCCGCCGCCGCCGCTCTGTCGCGTCGGCCGGCAGCATGGAGCGTGGCCCGCATTCCCTGCGGCGCTCGCCTGCTGCAGCCGCCGGCAGCAGAGCGCGGCGCCTGCTTCCGCCGTCCTCCCCTGCCGCTGGCGGCACCGTGCACCCAGCCGGCCTCCCCTGGCTTCTCCCTGCCCTTCCTTTCTTCCCTGCAGGTCATCCTGCGCCAGGAATACACAAAGGCCAGCGACGTTTACGCCTTTGGCCTGTGAGTGCGCCTGCGGGCCGCGCCGCCCGCCCGCCTGCCTGCCTGCCTGCCTGCTAGCCTCCCTGCCTGCCTGCTAGCCTCCCTGCCTGCCTGCCTGCCCTCCCGTCGAAGCTGTGTGCCGCATGGGCTGCCTGCCCTGCTCCCCGCCCGCCCCTCCCCCCACCACACACGCGTCCATGCCAGTCCCCTCTCCACTCCGCCCCACAGCCACCCACGCAACCTACCACACGCACGCTCTCACTCACTCCTTGCACACACCTGGCCGCCTGCTCTCGCTCACACCTCTGGCCCACACCTGCCGTATGCTTTCCTCCCCTCCCCTCATGCTATGCAGGATCCTGTGGGAGCTGCTCACCTGGGATCTCCCTTACGCCAACATGAGCGTGCTGCAGATCATGCTCAACGTCACGCAGCAGCAGGCGCGGCCCGCGGTACCGGACCAGTACGCCGCCGCGCAGGTGAGGCAGGCGGCCGCGGCAGGCTGGATGCCGCGCCCCGCGCGCTTGCCAGCGCAGGCTGCCTGCTGCCTGGCAGCCCGGGGGCTGTGTGCGGGCGCCCCGCCGCCGGACCGCTCGCCTGCCTGCGCGGCCGCCCTCCCCGGCTGCCTCAGCCGCCCACCACCACCGTCGACACTCACCCCCAGCCCTACTCAAGCCACATGTGCTCTGCTTGCTCCTTGCTCCCGCAGCTCCCCGGCGGCACCTTCAGCGGCTACGACGACTATGTTGACCTGATGCAGCGGTGCTGGGCGGAGGATCCGGCCTCGCGGCCCACCTTTGAGGTGGTGATTGCTGACCTCCGCAAGGTGGCCACCATACTTTCCAACTCGCGGGACGCCGCCGCGGCACGCGGCGGGCCCGGGCTGGGCCCCTCCCAGTCCCGCAACTTTGCGCGGCAGTCCACGGCGCCCATGGCGGCGGCCTCGGTGCAGGCGCCGCAGCCGGCGGCGGCGGCGGCGGGCGCGGCGGCGGGAGCGGCTGCCGGCGCGGGCGCAGCGGCTGGCGCGAGTGCCGCGTGGTTTGAGCCGCAAGCGCAGGGCGCGCAGGGCGCGGCGGCGCAGCCCCCGCCGCAGAATGGGGCGGGGACGGCGTCAGACCAGGGCGGCATGTCCACTCAGGCCTCTGCCGGCACCACCATGACGGGCGGTGCCAGCGAGGTGTCAGTCATCAGCGGCACCGCCCCGCCGCCCTCGCCCTTTGATGGCGGCCCCTTTGCCGGCGGCGGCCCCGCGCCCTGGATGCAGCAGGGCGCAACGGCTGGCGGGCAGCATGTCAGCAGCTCCGCGGCGCCACCGCCCTCGCCCTTTGGCGGCGGCCCCGCCCCGGCCGCCGGCCAGCAGGTCAGCAGCGCGGCGGCCCCGGCCCGCAGCCCGTTTGACGATGGGCCTGCGCCAGCGGGCGGCCAGACCATCAGCAGCGCTGCGCAGCCTCCCCCCAGCCCCTTTGGCGGCGCGGTGGGGGTCGGGCAGCAGGTCAGCAGCGCGGCGCCCCCACCACCCAGCCCCTTTGGCGGCGTGGTGGGGGGCGGCCAGCAGATTAGCAGCGCGGCACCCCCACCACCCAGCCCCTTTGGCGACGCCGGCTTTGCCGTGCCGGCGCCGGTGGCGGTGCCGCGGTCGGGCAGCGGGCGGCTGAGCCCCTTTGCGGCTAAGTCCCCCAAGTCGAGCAGCCCTGTGGCGCGCTCCTACATGGATGCCTCCTCCATGCCCTCCACCGTGCTGGAGGCCACGCCATCCATGGAGGCGGCGGCAGAGTCGAAATCGGAGGCTGATCAGAAGTCGAGCGGTGCGCGCCGCCCGCTGCAGCATGGCAGCGCCGGGCCGGGAGCGAGGGAGTGGGCACCCCGGCAGCCGGGCCGCGGCGAGCGGTGGCCTGCCGCTGACCGCCTGTGCGTGCCGGCCTGCTGCTGCAGGCCGCATAAGCAGCCGCCGCGGCTCGCACCTGACTGACAGCGCCCTCACCGCTGACACAGGGCACATGCCGCGCGGCGACAGCGCTTCGGGCATCTCCCCTGACCCCGCGGCGCCCACCGTTGAGGTTGCGGTGGACCACGCGAGCACCGCCGCGCCGGCGCGGACGGAGAGCAAGAACAAGGAGGGGCTGCTGCAGCGGCTGATGAGCATCGGCGGCAGCGGCAAGCGGCGCGCGCAGGCCGGCTAGGCCCTCCTTCCGGCGAGGCGCTCGCGCTGGCTGTACCCTGTTTCCTTCCCTTCGAGCTGTTCCTACAAGTCTCCCTTCATTTCCAGGTTGATGACCTTGTTCTCTTGCTGTGCATCACCGTTGTTGCAGTGGGTGTTGCATCCCTTTCCGAGGGTGCTGCTTCAGTGGTCATGCACACGTGCTCATCTTTGAGCTCTACCTGTGTGCTGCTGTTATGTTTTTCGTTTGTGTTGGCCCCTCCATCTGTTTTCCGGTAGTTTAACACATTGGCTGACCAGGCAAAGGGCATTTTTTGGTAGAACTGACACGCAGCTGTTGCGTCGGCGGCAGCGCGTCGGGGGCGGGTGAGCAACGGCGCCCTGACGCCGACTGCTGGGTCGCTGTTGGTGGTGCAATCAATCTGCCCAACACTGGGTCAAGCCCCTTGCTTCTGATACAGGGAAAGGCTTCCTGCCTGGGGCTGCAAACTCCGTGGCACAGTCCCCCGCACCACCTGCCATCCAGGGCACGGGAAAAACGGTCTGGCACCCGGGAAAGAGCATGTCAATTCGTGGGGAGGCACCCGGTGCGCGCGCCTGCTGGCAGCCTGGGTCATTTCCTGCACCGGCGCCTGAAGTGCTCGGCACCCGCCTGGGCGGGTCCTTTTCGGAGCATACCTCAGGCTCCGACCACTCCCAGCTGCCCGGACCTGTTCCCAAAGCAGAGAGCCAACCCAGCAACCAGTGAGACATGCGGCAGCCCATCACCGCGCTTGGGGTGGCCCTGCGACGGCGGGGCCCACGGAGGCAGTGGGCAGCAATGGGGAGGGCGCTGGAGGGGCATGCTGCACGGTTGTGCAGAGGGAGGCCTGGGGCGGCGGCTCGCCTGGCATTCAAAGCCGGCGCTGCTGCAGCAGCCCGGGGCCCAGCCGGCGCGCTCATTGGCAGGCCGCCGGGATGACAGCGGCCGCAGGCCATTCAAAGCAGGCGGCGCGCCGGGTGTTGATTTGGCGGGTGCCCGCCGGCGCTGCAGCTGTTGAGCCCTGCCCCTGCCCCCTCACCTGCGTGCGCAGTGGCTGAAGGAAACGCTTACGATGCTAAGGCCTTCGACCAGAAGATGGAGGAAGTGTGAGTGTTACGCAGCTGCTGCGCCCGCTCGATCAAATGCGCGCGAGGAGGTGGTCAGCCTCGCCGCCGCCGCCGCCCGCCCTGCGCCTACGCCCGCCCTGCCGCCGCCTCTGCCTGCAGGATGGGCGGCGGCGAGACCAACGAATACTTCACCGACTGGAACGAGACCTACGAGAGTTTCGACCAGATGAACCTCCACGAGAACCTGCTGCGCGGCATCTACGCGTACGGTGAGCACGGCTGCCGCGCCTCGCGTAGGAATCGCGGGAGGACGGCGAGCCCGGGATCACGCATCGTCCGTGGGCCAAGGGACCCGGAGGCGGCACAGCAGCAGCCGCGGGCAGTCTCAGCAGCTGCAGGAGGAGGAGGAGGGGGAAAGCTGGAGCGAGGTCGCGGGGGTAGCGGCGGTTGAAAAGCGGCACGCGGCGGGAGTGGAGCTGGCAGCAGCGTGGTCGGCAGCAGTCGTTCACGCCTGCGGTTCGAGGCGGCTGACAGGCTGCCCTGCCGCGCTCTGCCCGCCCCCCTGGCTGCAGGTTTCGAGAAGCCGTCTGCCATTCAGCAGAAGGGCATTGTGCCGTTTGGCAAGGGGCTGGATGTGATCCAGCAGGCGCAGTCCGGTACCGGCAAGACCGCTACCTTCTGCGCAGGCATCCTGCAGGTGCGCTGCTGCTGCCCGCTGCCGCTGGGTTTGCTGCCGCCGCCGCTGCTGCTGCTGCTGCTGCTGCTGCTGTGTGTGTGCATCCTCTGCTGCACTGTGCGTCTACAGCCTGCAGCCAGGGCGCCGCAGCGTGTGCTTGCGCGGTGCTGGCAGCGCCGCCGGCCGGCGCTGCTCTGGAGCGGAGCAGCCGCGGGTGCACGGCCGGCTTGCGCGGCAGATCTGAGAGCAGCAGTAGGCTAAAGGCAGAGGAGCAGCTGAGAGATAATCAAAGCGGGGTGGCGGAGCTGGAATGAGCTGGCGGGGCAGCAGTTTTTGAAATGGGCGCAGTGTTGCGACATGTGGAGAGCAGAGGCGGGGTGCTGGCGCCTCGCGCTCCTCTAGCTGCTCTCCTCCGCGGCCCACCCTCTGCTGCCTTCATGCCGACCCATCCCCAAGCCCTCGCCGCTGACTCCGCGCTTTCCTCCCCTTCCTTTCCTTTCCTCCCCGCTCCAGAACCTGGACTACACCCTGGTGGAGTGCCAGGCCCTGGTGCTGGCCCCCACCCGCGAGCTGGCGCAGCAGATTGAGAAGGTGAGTGTGTGTGTGTGTCAGGTTGGCTTTAAGGCGGCGGAGCGCCGGAGCCTGCCCCTTGGTTGCGGTGGCAGCCAGGAGCCGCGAGCCACGGCGCGGGCCCCAGCGCGCCTGCGGCGCCGCCGCTTCCGTCGGCGCGCCTGCCTCCAGGCCCCGAGTGCCGCGCCTCCTGCGTCACCCCTCCCCGGCCCCTGCCCGGCATGGCCATGGCCATGGCCCGGCATTGTTAAGTCATTCATTCATTTTCTTCTGCCCCGCAGGTGATGCGCGCCCTGGGCGACTACCTGAACGTCAAGTGCCACGCGTGCGTGGGCGGCACCTCTGTGCGCGAGGACACCCGCATCCTGCAGTCGGGCGTGCACGTGGTGGTGGGCACCCCGGGGCGCGTGTACGACATGCTGCGGCGCCGCGCGCTGCGCGCCGACGCCATCAAGATGTTTGTGCTGGACGAGGCCGACGAGATGCTGTCCCGCGGCTTCAAGGACCAGATCTACGACATCTTCCAGCTGCTGCCCCCCAAGATCCAGGTGCGCGCCCCCGCGCGGTACCGCCGCCGCCGCCATCGAGATCCAGCTGCAAAGCCGGCGGCGCGCGGGGTGGGGGCGCCGGGGGTTGCCGGCAGCTGCGTGGTGTGCCCATGGCAGTGCCTGGGGGTGCGGCGGCGCGGCGCGCGGGGCGACCATGCCACAGAGGGAGGCACCCCGGTGGGCCTGCTGCTGCGCCCCTCTGCCCTGCCCCCTCCCGCCTGACCCGCTGCTGCTGCTGCTGCTGCTGCTGCCGTGCACAGGTGGGCGTCTTCTCCGCCACGCTGCCCCCTGAGGCTCTGGAGATCACCCGCAAGTTCATGAACAAGCCGGTGAGGGAGGGAAGGGGGGGTGGCGGGCGAGGTAGGGCCCGGGGGCTGGGGTCTCTTGTTTCTTGGGGGCTCAGGGTGGGTGGGGCAGAGGCGTGCCCGCACGTGGGCCGGCCGGGGGGCTGGCGGGTTGGAGCAGCTGTGAGCTCGGGTGGCGCGGGGAAAGCGCGGGGCGCTGGTTGGAGGCCACGGGCTGGCCTGCGGCACCTGCCTGGCTGCCTGGCTGCCTGGCTGCGTCTGTGTGTCACCCCGCCCCTCTGCCGCCGCCCCCAGGTGCGCATCCTGGTCAAGCGCGACGAGCTGACCCTGGAGGGCATCAAGCAGTTCTACGTCAACGTGGTGAGTGGGCTGCGGTACCGCCGTACCGCAGTACCACCGTACCGCAGTACCGCCGTGCCTCTCCGTTCCGCCTCCGTCGCCAGCCCCTCGCGTGACCCGCCCCCAACCGCCTCCATCTCTGCTGCCTGTCCCTCCCTGACCCCTCCACACGCCTCCCTTGCTCCGCAGGAGCGCGAGGACTGGAAGCTGGACACGCTGTGCGACCTGTACGAGACGCTGGCCATCACCCAGTCGGTCATCTTCGCCAACACGCGCCGCAAGGTGGGCAGCGCAGCGGGCACGCCCCTTCCCGCCCGCCCTGCCTGCCCCGCCACGCCACGTTACGCTGCCGGCAGCTGGCTGCGGCCTTGCGCGCCTGCCGAGGCGCCGTTCCCGGGCGATGTGCGATTGCTCGGTTCTTGTTGTGTGTGCGTGTGCGTGCTTGCCTGGACGCTGCTCATTTCTGTGTGCGTGCGTTCGTGTGCGTGCCTGCCTGGGTTGCCGCCTCGCAGGTGGACTGGCTGACCGACAAGATGCGCGAGCGGGACCACACCGTGTCCGCCACCCACGGCGACATGGACCAGGTGCGCAGCAGCGTGGGGGTGCGCGGCAGGCCCGGCGTGGCAGGCTGCACTGCATTGCAGGCCGGCCCCGGCCCTCCCCCGCGCGCCCGCGGCCTCTCTCCTCTCCCCACCCAATCACACACATGCTCCACCTCCTGCCTGCACCCCCTCCTCCTTCCGTCCCCTTTCTTTCCTCCACTTTCCTCCATCTCCTCGTCCTTTCCTCCCCGCAGAACACGCGCGACGTCATCATGCGCGAGTTCCGCTCCGGCTCCTCCCGCGTCCTCATCACCACCGACCTGCTGGCCCGCGGCATCGACGTGCAGCAGGTGCGGTGGGGGATTTGGGAGGCTGGCAGGGGGCAGGCTGTGGCCGGCCAAAAATAGGTTAAAGACCGGCCAAAAATAGCGCCAAAAATCGCCCGGAATGCCCCCGCACCGCAGGTGTCGCTGGTCATCAACTACGACCTCCCGAATAACCCAGAAAACTACCTGCACCGCATCGGGCGCTCGGGGCGCTTCGGCCGCAAGGGCGTGGCCATCAACTTTGTGACCAACGACGACGAGCGCCTGCTCCAGGACATCCAGCGCTTCTACAACACCGTCATCGAGGTGCGGGGCTGGCTGGGGGTGGCTGCTGGGGCTGCTTGGGGCCTGGCATGGGCGGCTGCTGAGGGCCTGCCTTGGTTGTAGCTGGCTGGGTTTGGCTGCTGAGGGTTCCAGGTGAACTGAGGGGAATGCAGCGGCGTGGTGCGAGCCCTCCACACTTTCTGACACTCGCTCACTGCTGGTCTGCTGTGTCGACTGCACCCCATGCAGGAGCTGCCCTCCAACATTGCCGACCTGATCTGAGGCGGCAGCAGGGGCCCAGCCCCGCACCCAGCCCGTGCCGCCGCCAGAGGGGCGGCTGCCTGGCGCGCGCGGGCAGCGGCGGCGCGAGCAGGCTTGTGTGCTCCCGCGCGGTGGCCGGCTCCCCGGCCGCTGCGCGAGCGCCTCGCCCGCGAGCGCACTGTGACGTTTCTTGCAGCCACCAGCAGTGATGTGTATGTGTGGATGGCCGGCTGTGGCCCGGCGGCCCACAGCCGGCGCATCCCGGGTCGACGCTGCCCGCGGCTCTGCGCACCCGCAGCAGCGGCAGCAGAAGCAGCAGTACTTTGTTCCTCCTCCTCCTCCTTCCCTCCAGTGCCAGCGGCGGCAGCGAGCCTGGCGGCGCCGGCGCCTGGCGCAGCAGCCCCGGCCGCCTGCCTGGCCTGGTAGTGACTTCAGTTGGCGGGGCGGGGCGGGTGCCCCGCCTTTTGGGGCGGCCCACGCCGCTACCCCTTTTAGACAGCCCCCGCCGCTGCGTCTCGCGGCGCGGCGGCGCGAAAAGACAATCAAGCATTTGATTTTCGGCGCCGAGCACGTGGCGGCCCTGCTCACCCCTCCCCACCTTGCCTCCTCCGTGTGCCCTGCCTGGCCCTCGTTCCCCCTGTCGATACCAGCAGCACATGCAAGCTAAGACAAAAACACAGACAGGAGTCATGGGGGGGGAGCTTGCGGAGAGGAGAGGGAAAGGGGGAGAGAGTTGTGGTGGGTGGTGCAGGACATGCTTGACGTTGGCGGTCGGGGGGCAGCTGCCCAGGTGGATGCCAGGGCGGCTGTCCTTAAGAGCTTATCTGAGACCAAGCGATCTCAAGAGAGACTGCAAGGTTTGAGCACTCCAGCTTCAGCCAGCTCTTGGGGCCTCCACAGGTGCCAACCTTGGACAGGTGTGCGCTCCTCGCTTGTACTAGTCTGCCAGCCCTGGTGCGAAGCCAGCAACTGGCAACAACAACACGACAGGTCGTGCCCTGCAGGAGCGCACATGCTGGGCAGCAGGAGCGCAGCGGTGGCCGCGGCCGGCGCCGCCGCGCGGCGGGCCGCCTCCAGGGCGATGTCTGGCGTGGTGGCGGGGCAGGACACGCCCGTGGCGCACGCCGCCAACCTTCCTGACCACATCAAGAAAGAATTCACAAGCGCCACAGAGCACCCAGAGGGCTTCGATGAGGAGGAGCCCGCCGCTGGGTGCAGCACCGGCGAGGGTGCCGGCCAGCGGGCCCAGAAGGGGCAGCACCCGGGGCCTGCACAGGATCCCTACTCTGGCGGGGACCCCAGCCAGCAGGAGCTTGCGCAGGGGCAGCCGGCTGGCAGCTAGGAGCTGGCGGGCGCTACGGCGGGCACACAGCCGGGGCGGCGTGCTTACAGCATGTTCCATGCATGCATGCAGCAGGCAGAATGTATGGTGTATGTGTTATGCATGCACGTGTGAGTGTGTGTGAAAGAATTGCAGCCGGAGGGGCAATCGCGATGAAATGGTGGGGGTGGAAGAGGCAGTGCTGAATAAGAGCGGGGTTTGGTTTGGTGGTTTCTCGGGTTTCTCGTGGGGCTGTGCTGGCCCTGGAGGATGCAGGGGGAGCAGCTCAGGGTGTCGCCTCATGGGCAGGGCAGCAGGGCCCAGCCCAGGGATCGAGCAGCTTCAGCGGCCCAGCTCAGAGGCTGAGGCCCAGCTGCAGGCCCAGGGTGCCGTGGTACAGGAAGAGAGCCAGGATGGCGCTGCCCAGGTAGGCGTGGATGCCGCGGGCGCTGGGGTCGTCCTGCACGAAAGGGATGCAGGCAGCGGCGCAGGCCAGGGGAGCCGAGAACCTCAACCCACCATCACCATCACCGCCCACCCCAAGCGACCCAACCAAGCCGCCCCGGAACGCAGGCTGCCTGCGTTTGCGCCGCCACCGCAGCACCGGCAGCCAGCGGCGGCCGCCCCTTTGGCCACCCACCTCGAAGAAGGCGGAGGTCATGCCCTGCAGGGCCAGCAGGATGAGGCCGATGACGGCGGTGGTGAAGTGGGAGGAGGACCACAGGGACTTGCCCTGCATGGGGAGGAGGGAGAGGACCAGGAGGAGGGGAGGTAGGGGGGCAGCAGGCGCGGCGACCAGCGGGTGGTGGCTGTGCAGATGGCTTGCTACCAAGCCCACGCGCCCCCGCCTTTCGCATGTCCACCACCGCCCACCCACCCCCACCCCAGGCACCTGCATCAGCACCGACATGGAGCCCCCCAGGCCCCCCAGGGCGAAGAACAGCGTCATGCCAATGGCCAGCTGCAGCGGGAGGGGGCCGAGGCAGGCGGGTGGGCGGCCGGGCCAGTCAAGCAGCGGTGTTGCCAGCGCAGTGGGACAAACAGGCAGGCTGGCAAGCTGGCTGGCTGGCAGGCAGGCAGGCAGGCAGGCAGGCTGGCAGGCGGGCAGGCAGGCAGGGCGGGAGGCACCTTGGGGTGCAGGTCCTGCGCCACCGCCACCTCCTCGGCGCTGTCGCTCAGGCGGATGCGCCAGCCCAGGTAGCCGCAACCGTCTGCAGAGGGGCGGCCAGGGGGCATCATGTGGTGGCTAGGTGGGCTGGCAGGGGTGGGCCAGAGGGCATCATGTGCTTGCTGCCCTGCCCATCCATGGACTGCTGCTTGCGGCGTTCGCGGCAGCCACTGCTGGGAAGGGCTCCCCCGGGTGGTGGGCCACCGGGCTGCCCCAGGCACTTGCAGGGCACCGCTGCCGAGGTGCAGCCCTCCACTCACACATTCCCATGGCCAAAAGGACGACCAACATGTTGCCCGGATGTCCCTGTCAACATGAAGAGAACGGCAACAATCAAGAGTCGGTGGGAGCTGGCGGTGCAGAGGGGCCCAGCCGGAGAGATGCTGCGCCAACCCACCCCCACAGGCAAGCTTCCAGGGCAACGCACCCACTGGATGAGCCACTGGGGGAGACCCAGGGTGGAGAAGGTGTCGGCCTGTCCTGCGCTCAGAAGAAGGATTAGGTGGCATGGGTGGGCCTTGCACGCAGTGCGGCGGATATGTGGGCAATGCATCCCAGAGCTGCCTGACTTCAGACCCCACCCACAACGGCCTACCCTGCAGGAAGTCTGCCAGCGGGTTGATTGCCGCCAGAGCCGCCACTGCAGGCAGGAGCAGCGCAAAGGCAGAGCGTCGACAACGGGCCGTGGCGATGGCACCTGGCGGCGGCGGCAAGGCTGATGGTTCATCGGGGCCTCGTTCACAGCGCTGCTATGCTCAGCGTATCAATTGCCGATTGACAGGCTCGCGCCGAGGGCTGCCGGGCAATGAACTGGGCGCACCTGGGGCGAGGCTGTTTAGCTGCACCTCCTTCTTGGCAGGCCTGGGGACAATGCGGGCGGACTTTGGGCGGGCGACGCAGGTCACCCGCTGTGCAGTGGACACAACCCTCAGGCCCAGCCCAGCGCCACCCTGAAACATTGCGGTCGCCATGATGCTCATTTTGCGGTTGGAAGAGCTGATGGTGCAATGCGAACAGCATTCGGGCAAATGGGTGGCGCTTTGAGGTGAACGCAATGCCCCCGCTGTGCTGTGCCGCGCTGAGCAGCAGGTGAATGCGGCGCCAGATGCAGGCAATGCATTCGGCTGTGCTGAGCTGCTGCTGGTGAGATACTCAGTCCCAGAGATGAACTTAATCACGCCTGAAGCTGTCAGTGACCTGTGTGGCAGCCATGCTCCCGCCTGGTGCCGCCGCCGCCGCCTGGCGGGCCCCTCGAGCATGCATGCCAGGATGGGAGCTGCGGCCATCGGCTCACTGCTGACAGCATGCGGGAGTCTCAGATCTGTACAGACAGCCTGCCTGCCAATCCAGTGCCTTGAACCAACACCTGTCCACCAGCCACACGCTGTGCCACCCGCACTTGGAACCGCCCGCGCCCCTCCCCCACCGCTCCAGCCCAGATGCTGCTGCCAGGGCGCTGCACATGCCACACGCCACCCCTCCTCCCTGCGTAGGGACCTTGCAGGCAGGGTTTGGAGGGTCCAGCGCGGCAAAATGCCATGCCCACAGCCAGCGGTGTGGCTTGCCGCTGCCGCCCACCACGAAATGGGCTGCACGGACCGCCGCTTTCCAGGGCAGATGGGGAAGGCTGCATGCTTGCTGCAGCCGAAAGGGCAGTGTCAGGCCTCTCAGAGTAGTCACAGCTGCAGGAAAACGGTGCTACGCCTGCCAGGCTCGCTGCCGACACCGCGCTGCACTGCCCCAAACAAGGCACCCCGATGCGGGCGGGAGCAGCGGCGAGGTTGGGGCGGCGGCATCCGAGTGCTGCAGAAGACCGGGGCCAATCCCATTTCAGAGTCTAAGGCTGGGTAAGGGGCGTTAGTGGTGGAGAGAGGTAATGTTGAGCAGCAAGGCAATACAACATGAGATCTGTACAGAAGGCAAATCGCAGGATAGAATCGGACGGTGCGGTTGCACTAACGTCGAAAGGCGGCATGCTGTACTGTGCTGTGCTGCGCCATCCGCCCAGGCGCCCCTCACCGCCGCTGCTTCTTGCTGCCGTGGCTCGAGGGCTCTTCCACCTTGAGCACCTCGGCATGGAAGCCGGCGTCACGAAGCGCGTTGATCCAGGCCCGCTGCTGGTTGCTGAGCCTGTCGCGAGGGCCCTTCACCTCCGCCAGCTTCGCATCCCGCCGCGCCGGGCGCCACAGCAGGAGGTCGGGCATGCCCCCTGCAGAAACAAACAGTGGGCCCGGGACAGGGCGGGCGCGATGAGCGGCCTGGCAGGTTCCTGCCAATGACCTCCTGCTGTGTGCTACCCACGCCCTGCTCCTGCCTTCACAGCACCGGTGCTATCCAACCCCAGCCCCCCACAGCCCTGACGGTTCTCACCCACCTGACCAGCCGCCGTGGTCGATGGCCAGCAGGCGGCAGACCGCCGCCAGCTGTCGCCCTCCCACGCACTCCGCCACCACCTGCAGCTCCTCAAGCTCGTGCCGGTCCCAGCGCACGCCGCGGCACATCGTGCCCTCATGCTGCTCCCAGGCCGCCGCCAGCATGCGGGGCGCCTCCCCTGCCGCCACGCGCGCCAGGCACGCCTTCACCGCCTCCTGCACACACATGCACACCCACACGTTGAGGGGGTTAGCCTTGGCTTGCAAACCGTTGCCTCTCAAGAGCAGCAAAGTGTGGCATTGGACGGCTGGGCCCCAGCCTCCTCACCTTGCGGGTTGGGTAGAACAGCGGCGTGTCCAGGTCAAGGGGTGCTGTCTGCAGTGCCGGACAGAGCAGCACGCAGGCGCAGCTCGGCCAGCCGGCAGCTGGGGCAGAGGCGCCTGCTGCTTCCGCCAGCCAAGCATTGCACAGCGCTTGCCGGCGCCAGGCAGCACCAGCTGCTGGCCATCCCACTGGTGCGGCTGCTCAACCCGCACCGACCTGGAAAGGGGTGCGGAAGACGTCTGGCACCGGCATGAAGAGCACATCCCACAGCAGCAGCCCAAACAGCATCGCCCAGACGCCGCCCTCGCTGCAGCGGGGGCACAGCAAGCAGCGCATCTCCTGATTTCCTACCAGGAGAACGATGCAGGCCACCGGGTGGCGGGCAGGGCACAGGCCGCCGCCATTGCAGGCAGAGGCGCCCGCTGGGCTCCCCGCGCCGCCGCCCATGGCACTCCCGGCGCCGGCGCACCAGTGCACGCCCTGCCAGCCGCCGCCCTCTTCTGTGGCATAGTGCTGCAGAGCCAGCTCCTCCACCCCGCACTGCTCCTCGTCCAGCCCGTAGAAGCGGCTTTTGGCGCCTGCGTGGGTGGGGGTGGTGCGGAGGGGTGTGAGGAGGGGCGAGTGAGGATGCGTGGGTGGGTGGGTGGATGGGGGCAGAGAGTGGGGTGGGACATGGCAGAGACATGTGTGTGGACGCATGCTGGTGCGCTGAAGGATGCAGCATACGGAAACGGAATCCCCATGGGGAGCACGAGCTGGCCATGCCGCAAGGAAACCAGCTGCATGGCAAAGGATGCGGATGTGCCACATGGTGCCACGCGTGCCCGCAGCAGGACGCAGCGGGACCACACCAACCTGTCGTGCGGTTCAGGGGCCGCCCCTGGATGCGCACCACCGGAGGCTCGCGCTGCGCCTCCTTCTTCCACGCCGGCGTCTTCCACCTCCACGGCGGCTTGCCTGCGCCAGGGCACGGTGAAAAGAAAGCATGGGGAGTTGAGCAGGAAGGCAGCATAGTACCCCCATGGCAGCTGCAACGCGCCGGGCAGCTCAGTGCTGTGTGGCACAGAAGGTTGGAAAGGCAGGGGCAGGCCTCGACGCGCTGCCGGAAGCTGGAAGGCATGCTCGCCGCCGCACCCAGGAGCAGCACGCGGCGCTGCATGGTCAGCCGGTCGCCGCAGCTGAGCGCCTCGTCTGCCAGGGCCGCCTCCGCCCGCTCCAGCGCCTCCTGGTGCCTGCCCAGGTGCTTGAGGTTGATGGACAGCCGCTCCCACCACTCGCCGCGCCGCGTGGGGCAGCAGCAGCCGCCTGCAGCCAGCAGGAGCATACGTCAGGCGCATTGGCTGCGCTGCAGGTCTCGCTGGCATGGCCCACTAGGTCTTGAGCTCCTCCTGCTCAACCTGGACCATCAAAATACCACACCATCCAGCCCCAATCGGCCGCCACCCCTCAGCCAGCTAGACCCACCCAGCAGCATGTCCAGCCGCTGTACCGCCTCCTTGTACCGCTTCTGTCGCTCCAGCAGGTCCACCCCCATGTTGGCCATGATGCAGTACACCTCCCCTGCGGCACGGGGGCGGCTGTGGGTGAGAGGCGGCCAGCAATGCTGGTGCAGTGGCGGTGGGAGGGCCCATGGCAGCAGAGCCCTCACCCGCATGAAACCGGCGCAGGAAGCCGGGGCCGTCGCGCGGCTGCAGGCAGGAGCAGCAAGGGCAGGCGGGGGGTCACATGCAGGGCATGCTTCGCGACCACGGCAGAGAAGGGCGCACAGGCCCAAAACAGGCAGGGAATGATGGCTGGCGGCGCAAGGGCAGCTGGGGCTCGGGTGACGGGGCACCTGCTTGTGCAGGTTGGCATCCAGGGCTGCCCACGCGGGCTGCAGCGCCGCCTCGGCTCCCTCCACATCCTCGGCCTGCATTGCCAAACTTGCATAGCCGTGAAAGGAGGCCAAGGCCCAACATGCATGGCATCACAGGAGGTCAAGCAAGGCGCACGCTGCTCGTGCGCCGCTTGGGGACTGCTGCCAGGAAGGGGGACATGGACCTCACACCATCATCGCAATGCATAGCGCATGCACAGCCTGCAGGCACCACCTTGCCCACAGCCCCCAGCAACAGCAGCCCCCCAGGCCGCTCGCCTCGTTGGCGTCCATCAGCTCCGCCGTGTGGCGCAGCGCCGCCTCATACGCCAGCAGGTCGGCGCGGCGGGCAAAGGCGGGGCAGCTGCGGTGCACCTGGTACCGCGGGTACTGCATGTGTCCCAGGTCGCTGGCCAGGAACTGCGGCAGGGCGGGGGCGGGAGGGTGGCGCCGAGGTGGGCTGGCAGGGCAGGCCGCGGGGATGGGGCGAGGCAGGTGTGTGTGCGAGTGGCGGAGGAGGCCACACGCCAGGGCCCAGCACAACCTCAGCTGCGCAAGCATCCGGCCAGCCAGGCGATGGCAAAGGGCGCAACCCCTGTGCAGCATGCCAAAGCCTGAAGTGCAGTTGGTCGTCTGGCCCACCTGCGTCAAGCTCTGCCCTTCATTCAGGAAGAAGAGGCGCTGCAGGCGGCCGACGGCCTCGCAGGCTGCATCCGACAGACGCACCACCGGCCCCGTAGCGGCCAGCAGCCAGCCCGTGAGCTGCGCCGCGACGGCAGCCGACCGCTTGGCGTGCCCCTCCAGCGCTGCCAGCATCTGCTGCCGGTTCCTGGGCACGCCGCCCTGCGCTGCGCTGTAGCAGTCGCCGCCCGCTGGCGCCGCCTTGATCTTGCGCGCCGCCAGCACAGCCGCCAGGTCAGGCACAGTCAGCAGCTCCGCCAGGTCAGCCCAGCTCGCCGTTCCGCCGCTGGCTGCCGCCGCGCTGCTGCTGCCGCCGCCGCTGTCGCTGCTGCTGCTGGCGCCAAGCCTGGAGGTGCCACCCCTGATGCCTGATGCCGCGGTCCAAGTGGCCGCCAGGCCTGCCGCCGCCAGCTGGCCGGCTGCCGCCGCGGCGTCTGGCACCTCGCTGTAGGCCAGCGAGGCCAGGGCGAACAGCGGGCCCTTGCGCTGGAACAGGCGCAGGAAGAGGCACTGGGCGGGCAGCTCCAGGGCCTGTGAGCAGTACGCAGCGGGACAGTCTCAACAAGCTGGGATCAGGCCAGGCAGGTGCCGGAACACGAGATGCAGGCTGCGTGCGCCTCCTGCTCCCTTGTTGCTCGGCGCCCAAACCCGCTGGCACCTTGTAGGCAGCGATGAAGCCTGTCTCCTCCTGGGCCAGCAGGTGGCCGTCGTGGTGCTGCACCGTGTCCAGTACCGTCAGGAAGTTGTGATGAAGCCGCTCCCCCATGGCCTGCGGCTGCTGCTGCAGCTGTGTGGCGGCCGCCGCCGCCGCGCGACCCAGCGCAGCCGCCACCCTGGCCGCCGCGCCGGGCGAGGGCCCAGGGCCGCCGGGCTGTTGCAGCGAGATCTGCAGCTCTGCCAGCAGCGGCGCCTTGTCCCCAAGCGGCTCCTCTTGCACGACCGCTTCCACCACCACCTGCTGGCTCTTCAGCAGAGGGGCCAGGTGCCGGGCCACGGCGCGGGGCAGGTGGCCCAGCGGCAGCCGGCTGCGGCAGGCAGGGCACGGTTTGGTTGGAGCCACCAGCGCATGAGTGGGCAAGCACACCACCTGCCCCGTAGACCAGTCGGCGGACAGCAGTTGGGCGCACAGGCCAGGGAAACAACTCCCAAAACTTAAAGGGGTACATAGGGCTGATCCCTGCTGTACCGCGGCTCCCACATCACTGACCTGTGGGCATCGAGCGCCAGCAGGGCATTGGTGTCCCGAGGGTTGCCCGCCTCCCACTCCACCACCAGCCTCTGCAAGCGGCAGGACGCCAGAGAGTCTCAGAGGGTCGGGTGGCGGCATCTTGCCTCCAACACAGTCCTCAAGCAGCAGATTGGTGGTTGAAGGTGCAGGGCAGTGGGCTGCCTCTTCACCTGGCCACTCTGCCACCTGACGTCATGCTTCTGATACTGCCTCCCGACCACGCTGCAAGGGAAGCAACGCAGGGAGGCAGGCCGGGCGGCGGCGGTGGCTGCAGCGCGGGACAGCAAAGCCTGCTTTCCCCCGCCCGCTGCCGAGGAGGCCTGGAGCGACGACCGCGCCGTCTGCTGGTGCTCGCGGCGCGGGGAGTGCACCGGCGGCGCCTCCTGGCTGCTGGGCGTGCCCTGTGATGGCCAGGACACTGACGGCGACTGCTCTGCCCGGTGTTTCCCCGCCGCTTGCTGCTGCTGCTGTTGCTGCTGCCGCTTGCTGCCGCTGCCCTCAGCAGTCGTGGTGGCTGGTAATGGTCGAGAGCAGGGGATGCCGGCGGTCTCCACGGCCTGGCCCTGATCCTCATCACTGGCCCCAGTCAGATCCACATCCACCCAGCGGGCCGTGCCAAGGATTGAGCCCGCAGCGGCAGCCGCGCCCGACGCCAGAGCCGTGCTTCGCGGCCTCTTGGTGGAAGGCGGCGAGCCGGCGCCCGGCTGCTGCTCCTGCCGCTGCTGCTTCTTGTGGGGCTGCTGCCGAGCGGTGGCGGACCGCGACGCAAACTGGACGATGGTGGCCTGCTGGGTGCGAGTCTTCAGCAAGCCCTTGGACAGGCACTTGTCTGCGGGGCAGGCGGCAGCAACCAGCGAATGAAGGCAACAACCTTCCAATGAAGGCAACATGAGCGGCGAAGGCAGGAGCAGCGTGCAACCCTCTAGACCACTCACCTATGTGTGCATTGACCTTGTCGTGGTCATGTGGTAGCTGGATGTTGCACAACGGGCAGCGCACGCATTCCTGCTCGACCGGCGTGTTAGATGGGCCAGCCTGTGTCGACGGTATCGCCGCATGTGAGCGCGCCGCAGCTGCTGCCGCCGCTGCTGTTGCCGTGGGTCCATCATGGATGCTGCTTGATGCCGCTGCGGCGGCTGTCGATGTGGGGGCCGGGCTGGGTGAAGGCATCACCCGCCAGTCGGCTGCCGCTGTTGGTGGCCCACTCGGCTTGCGCTTGCGCTGCTTCGTGACATCCCTGCCAAGCAGCGCTTGCAAACTGCCTTCACCGCGCATCGGAAAGGCAGAAGAGGTCTCCGGCAGTGGCTGAGGGCGGCGCACGATCACTTGTAGGAGGGAGGTATGGGCCCCGGGCGATTCAATCTGATTGCATTGTCCTCAGGCGTGGTGTGTGGCACCCTGAGAACGATATTCATAGGCTAGCCAGGCCAAGCTTGGCATGAGGTGAGTGTGTTGAGCAGCCTCCACGCCCAAACATACAGCACACGCCCAACAGACGCAAGCGATGCGAGGATTCGCGCTTGTTGACAGCCGACCGGGCGTACCGCCGCACCGCCGCCCAGCCGCCGCCCCTGTTCCTGAGCCAGGCGCACCGCCATGCACCCGGGCTGCTGCGTGGGCAACCTTTACTCAGACACAGACACCGTTGACACGGATTTATTAATAGAGCATGCAACAACCAATGCAGAGGCCAGATGTGACCAGCGCTGCGGTGCGTCCTGCCAGCGCTGGTGGCAGGCGGCATGCGAACATGGCAAGGCGGCACGGTTCTGGTGCAGAAAGCGGTGATGTGGCGCTCAACAAACAGGTAAGGAATGCTGAGGCGGTATGCGTGGGTTGCGCTAGCTGGCAGGGAGGCAGCGTGCCTAAACCAAACCGCCGGGGTGAGATGGCTGCCTGCCATCTACCGTGCTGTCGCCAGGGCCGAGCCGAGCCAGCAAGCAAGAATGGTCTTCGAAGCCACAAAAAACCTGTGGAGCTTGACTGATTGACGGATGAGACTAAGCGTGGGGCGAGGGCAGAGTTGGTTGGTGGGTGGGGCTGGCTACAACGGAACGCGGAGGCGGCTGCAGAGCACATCACTTGCCTGGATGGGGGGCTGCTTCGCAGGGCGCACCCGCGGCACGCGGCACCAGGCGCTGGGGCGC